CAGGCAGCCTATAGAAATGGAAAAAGTTGCAGCGTAGTTCCAGCAGCGCAGTAATGTTCCGCAGTGGCCCCCATGCACAAAAGGAAAGGCCCCAGATCAAGAAAAGCGCTTGGGCCGAGACACTTGCTACGACGACTACTACTACTACTACGACGACCACCACCACCACTTCTTCACTACCACTACTACTACTACTGCGACGACGACGACGACGACGACTACTACTATGACGACAACGACAATTACTACTGCTACTGCGACGACGACTACTTATACCACTCCTATGTCCTACTACTGCCGCGACCGCGACACGACCGCGAGCACATGCGACCACCACTACGACCACGACCACCCAAGGCGTGTCTTACAGCCTCCAACTTGAATCCAATGCCCACCTGCTGCTGGGGATCATGGGCGCTGCCGTCTGCTGGCATCGCTAGCGCCGAAAAGCAGCGACGGTCTTCGGATTTACATGCTGGTCGTGCTGAATCCGAATGCAAATGCCTACCTGCCATCTCTACTCGCGCAGTGCATTTTAAGACTGTGCGCAAAAAGAGCTAATCGCAAGAACTAGTCACTCTATTGCTGTTTCAGTCCACTAGGTAGCCGAAACGGCCAGCTGCTGGTATGAGCTCAAGGCTATTTGAGTGCCCCCACGGGCAAACCGTGTTCTCCTTGTCCGTGCGTTGCACATGCCTCATATGTCCCTTAGAGCAGCTGCGGCTCTCGTGCAAAATAGGTTCGGCGAACTGATGACTGCCGCGCACTGGCGGCTTTCATAGGCTGGAGCGCCACGCCCTCTGTCAATAAATGCAAATCTTGCCTGGAGAGAGCGCAGTGGAACCTCGCACAGAAGCTGGAGGGCCTGTGGCAAAACTGATGTAGGCATCGTTTTGCCGACACGACAGCTGCCAGCCAAATGAAAAGCCGGGACGGCAGGTTTATGATGACGATGGGCCAGATAAACCAAAAAGAGGCCCCATTGCGCCCATCAGGCATTTACACCAAGGGACGACGACCGCTCTCCACTTGAATGAGTGGTCGACAAAGTTAACAGGCACTCATTTACAGTCTGTTTGGAGTGCTTCTGCCGCCGACACATGGCTGCGGGGATGAGCCTTACTGGCCCAGCCATTCCTAGGTTATTTGCCAAATTCATGGTACCATTATAGTCCCGTTTCTCTGGTTGACCCCTAAGCATTTTTCCCAGCACGATGCTGCAATCTGTTGAGATTCAATAAGACGCCAATCAAACGATCGGAGAATTTGCACCTTCCTCCCCACAAAATGAACAAATATCATATTAACATGTTTTGGGTTGATGTCGCATCTGCCGGCTGAATAGTTCCGCTGCGAGGCTGTTGGAGTTTTGCAAAGACACGCATGGAGCATCTGGAGATGGTTTGTGCAAGTTCATGACACAGTCATAGGGGGGCTTCCGCAGAAGCCTAACAGGCAAGCAGACAGAAACACAAGCTCGGTAAGCTCGGGGCTTCCCCGGTAAAAACGGGCATCTCTACCAGGGATCGAAACGGTTATAATGAGCTGATGCTACTTGCACCCGGGTCTCGGCCGTGCTAAGTGTCCCGCTTGCGACCATCGGCAGCGCTTCTCGAAAGTACTCACAGCACTTGAAAGCGGCACCACCTGATGCGCACACATTTTGGAGGTTCTCGCACGAAGATCTGAAACCTTCGGCTTGACCAGAAACCTGTGGAACCCCGTCCGAGCGCACGACGTTGGGTGCTGCTTGAACTGTAGGAACTTCAAGGATGCGAAGGGCAACTTCCTGGGTGAGCAGCTGACTGAGGTATGCGCCGTGTTCACAGCTTCTTCAAGGGAAGGGCCCACTCCCCTGCGTGTTGGCAGGAAGTGATAATGGAACTGTACCTGTTGCTTGATGAATGCAGCTACTGCTGTGCAATATGGTGCTTCAAGGTTTCACACTTCCCACGCCGTGGGCACATGATGATGTTGGCACGGAGCTTCAGCCTAGCACAAGAGAGGAGCATGGCCGGACTTCTCCCAAAGTGCTTGAGTCCGCTTGAGCCTGATAGCCTGCATCAGAACAGAGAGGCCCTGCTCCCAAGCCGAGGAAACTGCACAGGCGGCCACCTCATGTTCGAGTTCCCGCTGACGCACTGCAGTTCCAGTCGGAGGCCAGGGCTGCCACGGTGGCACCCAGACAAACAGCATCCACCGCGAACTGATGCCAGGCGGTCCCAAGCAGGAGCAAGGCCTCGAATTACTGGTCTTGGCTCGCGGGCATCAGCCACCAACACTCTTTGTGTGTGGGAGAAAGGAAAAACACAACAAAGCGAGAGCGGAACGAGCGAGAAACAGCATGAGAAAGCAAGCCAGATTAAGAAAGACAGAATGTGCAGACGGGAGACAAAGCCTTTCTCGTGGATCGACCCGTGCAAGCTTGTTTACTGAACTCGCCACTCCACTGCCGCACAGGCCCTTTACGTTGCCTTTTCACCCCTCCTTCACTTCTTTCCTTTCCGTCATTTGCCTGCCTTGCTACCTTCTGGGCCGGCGCACTGAAACTGAATCCTTCTCTGTCTCTCTGTCTGCGCATTTCTGTCCAAACGGCGTCAGACAGAAAAGAAGGCGGCTGCAATGCAGATCACAAGGCGTGGCAAGTGGTAAACCGGTAAACCGATTTGCATAAACAAGCTCGTGTCGCGGTCACTGGAGAGGATGGGGTCATCCAGACGGACTTATGGACGCTACGTAGCCTGGTCCGCGGGTTCGCGGGT